TGATTCTTGACCAAAACATTTTTTTTTTTAATATCTTTATGTTTGAAGCCTGAAATGTGGCGAAATGTTGAAAGGTTCAAGGGGGCCGAATACTTTAGCAAGGCACTGTATATATGTATATATATACCGTATACTGTATATATATATTAGGAGCAGAGGTCTGGGTCTAAGGTCTCAAGTTGAAACTCTCAACAGAACTTTGCTTCACCTTCAGAAAACCAACACATCAAGTGGAAAACTACTGAATTCTGTTGTAATGACCATGCTAAGATAACAAAGTTTCACAAACAGTCCAATTTATAATGTTTCCTTTATCCCTATCTTTTGAGTCATCTATAATCACAGCTGACTGACTTTCCTCCCACTCCCTTTTTCCTCCTATGTGTACCCTATGTGTGCCTGTACATGTATGTCTACCTGTGTATCTGCCTATAATAATAAATAATAAATCTTTATTTGTATAGCACTTTCAAAAAGTTGTACAATAATAGGGACTTCGTTGCAAGCTCAATGGGGATGTGGAAGAAACGGAGCAAAGATCAGTCACCTCCTCTTCATGGATGACATCAAGCTGTACGCCAAGAGCGAGAGAGACATTGACTCTCTGATCCAAACCACCAGGATCTACAGCCATGACATCGGGATGTCATTCAGACTCAAGAAATGTAGCAGGATGGTGACTCGGAGAGGCAAGGTAGTCCACACAGAAGGGATCTTACTTCCAGAGGGAACAATAGCAGACGTTGAACAGCTACAAGTATCTCGGTATACCACAGGCAAATGGCAACCTCGAACAGGCAACGCGAAAAGCGGCAACTGCCAAATACCTCCAGCGAGTAAGGCAGGTCCTAAGAAGCCGGCTCAATGGCAAGAACAAGGCCCGGGCAATTAACAGCTACACCCAGCCAGTGATCAGATACCCTGCAGGAATAATCAGGTGTCCAAAGGAAGAGATTCAGACCATGGATGTTAAAACTCGAAAGCTCCTCACCATGCATGGCGGGTTCCATCCCAAATCCAGCACCCTGAGACTATATGTAAGCCGTAAAGAAGGAGGCCGAGGACTAGTGAGTGTGAGAGCCACTTTCCAGGACGAAACATCCAAACTCCATAACTACATCATGGAGAAGGCCAAAACGGATGACGTACTCAGTGAATGTCTCAGGCAGTGGCGAGATGAGGAGGTGCTGGAGGAGAGCCCATCATGGGAGGACAAGCCCCTACACGGCATGTACCACCGGAGCATAACAGAAGTGGCTGATCTCAAGAAGTCCTACCAATGGCTAGAAAGGGCTGGCCTACAGGACAGCACAGAGGCACTCATCATAGCTGCACAGGAGCAGGCCCTGAGCACCAGAGCGATAGAGGCCCAGATATACCACACCAGACAAGACCCAAGGTGTCGGTTGTGCAAAGAGGCACCTGAGACGATCCAACACATAACTGCAGGGTGCAAGATGCTGGCAGGAAAGGCCTACATGGAACGCCATAACCAAGTGGCTGGCATAGTGTACAGAAACATCTGTGGAGAGTATGGGCTGGAAACTCCAAGGTCTAAGTGGGAAACTCCTCCAAAGGTGGTGGAGAATGAGCGTGCAAAGATCCTGTGGGACTACCAGATACCGACCGAATGGTAATGGGCAATTAGGGTGAAGTGTCTTGCCTAAGGACACAACCACAGTTAGGCACTTAACAGCCACAGCCGCCCCACTGTGGCACCTGGTGTTCCAAGAGGTCTCCCATCACAGTACTAACAGTGGTATAAACAATATGAATGGTATGGATAGTTAAAAAAGCTATATCTTACATGAAATAATCCCTTTGGTTTTGATAAATTGTTATAGACTAATGTTCTCATTTTCTTCCTTTAATCCGCGTACACAATCAATTGTGTACTCAGAATTCAGAACAGGCTGTAGATGTACAATTAGAAATTTTACAACGGCTGAAGACATTGTGAGTGACTGCATACCATAAACACAAAGTACTACAATACATCTAAAACATTAAACACATTACACCCTTATTACACCTATATTTACTTTATACAATACACAAAAACATTGTACTACACAACACTAAAAACATAAAAAAGATCAAATTAAAAGGAATACAATTCCCACTATAAATATAGGAAAAAAAATAACTTGTAGTACTGCGAATACTGCAAATACTACAAGCCCATTAAACCCATAGATATATTTAGTTATTCATTTATTTGGTCTTTGGGCAACAAAAACAATTCATACAAACAAGAACAATTTCACATCCGAATGTTATTTATTCATACTATTTTACAGACCTGAAGAACTGGTTTGGCCAAACTTCATTGCCAAAATCAAGTCGAAATCAAACCCTGGTATGGTTGAGCCCGTTGATATAAAGCCTTGTGTGGTTCAGCGGTTGGATGGCCTCCATGGGTGGCCTGACCTCTGGCCCTCGGTGCAAGTTGGGGCTCTCGTAGATAAAGCACCTGCCACTCAGCACGTCTCCTCCAGGCCTTTTGTTTATGCCGCATTCCACTGCTTATGTCCAGGGAGCCAGCATTCTTCTGACTCAATCAAGTCAAATTATGTGCAAAAAGTCTCCCAAAATAATCATAATCTCAACCTTCCCCCAGAAATTCATGGATGGTGCGATATAGTTCAACCGTCTTTGCAAAAGTGGAAGATTTTTACCATTTTCTTTGTGACAGCATGCCATTATTGCCATTTCAGCTCTAGAGGGTTGGAGAGTAAAATCTATGGCTAATTATAGCTTAATCCTGTTGTTTATTTCCAAAGCAGGACTATTAACAAGTTTATTGGGATTTTATTAGACTATTATAATTCTGTCAGTGGCATAAAAGTTATTTCAATACAATTGTTTATTGTCCTCAATATTATTATCAATATTATAGTTGAGATCTGACGTAAAGTCGCTTGTGGGATTCCTGGTGAAACTTGCAGTGACATCTAGTGGTGGATTGCAAATGCTACACGTTCCTCATTCATCAGTATATGAACTTACATCCATAAAGCACTCAAACACATGTGACGCTGTGACAAAGACATTCTTATATGTGTATTTAATGAAAATGACCTAACTGCTAAATGATGGTGCCAGGACATTATCTTTGACAGTCTGGCAATGGGGCTCAGACTTTGTTTATTCATACTCAAAGGAATTAGTCATATATTAACACAGACAGTAACATATATTATACAATCTGGAATTAACCCAGTACAATTAGAGCACAGCCAAAATATAGTCGTGCCTAAAATTACCTAAATTCAAGAGTTTGTTTCATAAAATTACAAATTGGTTTATAAACTTAATTTAGACGAGAGCATTAGTCAAGTATGAAGTCTTCACTGCACATTAACCAAAGGAGACTATTGCACATGTTTTAGTGGTAGGATAAACCGGAGCCCCCGGAGGAAACCCACGCAGATGTGGGCAGCGGGAAGATGCAAACTCCACACAGAAAGATTCCACCAACTGCTGCTTTTTTATAAGGTATGGAGTAACTGTAAAACCAACAAGGCACTTTAGTGATCTTTAATTATTGAATGACAAACTTTTATACGTAGTTACAATCAGACTGTAGAAGGAGTAGGTTTTACTCAAGTGCTGACCTCAGTCCTACAGAGGTGCAAAGCAACTCATCTTACATTTATTCCACTTGCACATTTGCGTGTTCTGCCTCTAATTAAACAGAATTTCAGAAAGTGATTGCCTTTTGTGTGTGCTTCTTGCACCCTGAAACAGACCTACAGAAAGGATTTGAAAGACTTTTGAACAAAAGTCATGAAAAATATTCTCGCTCAGCCAATCAGCACTCAGCCCAAACAGACAGTTGCGAAAGATAAAACTTTTTAAAACATGAAGACAGCATTTGGTGGTCCATTTTTTTATTTTTACTTTTACTAGACTTTGTGACAAACAAGATGTATAAGTCATGAAAAATACATAAATACACCCCACACCCATTCTGCACTTTGGGCTCATTAGGTGCGAGCTTTGTGCCTCTATCCCTCATGTGTATGTCCCAAAGCCGTTAGCTCCAATCGGACGTCAGTCGATTTGATTTATGTGCAACGATTTGGAGACTGTAAAATATTCAATACAAATAAAGTGGATGGGATTAGATTGAATTAGACGATGGCTCTGCTCCCTTCTCACTTCCTAGTCTCAGTGTGTTGCACAAGTTCCTGCTGGTCTAAATGCAGTGTAAAGGGTTTTTGCAGGAGGTTGCAGTTTCCTCTGGACTCTCAGTGGATTGATATATTGTTATAGCTAATCTTGAGCAAAGAAACAGTAAACTTTGTAATGAGTTTGTTCAACCATTAAGACGCACGTCTCATTTGCATCATGTTACACACTTCTACTACTAGCCGTGTTTAAATCAACCAACATGATCTGGTCAAGAGCTGTTCGTAATTAAAATCTTACATACTGTCCCTTTAAGACAGCTGGGGGAACAGACTGAGCCTCAATTAAGAGAAGTGGGTCCAAGTTATTTTAAATAGACTCATTTATGACTAGGATAGATATGAAACTAGACACATGTATGGATGGTCCACTTGCTAGACATTTTACTAGTTTGACATGAAGTTATCCAAGAAAATAAGTATGAAACTATTAAAATAAATGTAAAAAATAAAAATTCATTTAAAAGATATACAAGAAGATTTTCTCCACTTTTTGAACAAAACTTTCTGATCTTGCTTAATGAGCACATATCACCAGAATGGTTGACAATTGGGAGGGAAGGTTTGTGCGGGGGTGGGGAGGTTGTTGCGGGTTGGGTTGGATGTGGTGGTAGGGGTTTGCGCCAACGTGAGTTTTTGTGACGCTGCGTGGGTGCCTGTGCTTCAGAATCGGGGGTTGGGTGCTGGTGGGTGCTGGGTGCAGGGATGCGGGGGGGATTGGGTGTTGGCTCCATGGGTGGGTGTCTCGGGGGTTTTTTGTGTGGTCTTATACTTGCTTTTATTTTAGGTGCAGGGGGTTTTGGATCGATGAAAGTGTGCAGCGGGTGGATAGGGGTTGCAGGGGGGGGTTATTGGCGGACCGCTGCTGGTGGTAGTGATGGCCGTAAGCCTGACGGTGTTTGCTCTTTGGGGAGTAGTGGGTGTGGGATCGTTGGCGTGGTGTGGGTGGGGTGGTGAGGGGTGGAGTGTGGGGTGTGGGTGGTGTGGGTGTGGCGGGGGTGGGTGTTGTGGGGTGGTGAGGTGTGGGTGTGTGTTGAGGTGAGGGGTGGGGTGGGGGAGGTTTGGGGTGGGGTGGGGTGGAGTGGGGTGGTGTGGTGTGGGTGAGGTATTTGTTGATGTGGTGTGTGGAGGTGTGGTGTGGTGAGGTTAGGTGTGTTGTGGGTTGGTGTGGTGTGGTGTGGTTTAGTGGTGTGGTGTGGCGAGTGGTGTGGTGTGGGGGTGGTGGAGGGTGGGGTGGGTGTGGTGGTGGGGTGGGTGTGGTGTGTGTGGTGTGGGGTGAGGGTGGGGAGGGTGGGGTGTAGGCGTGGAGTGGTGTGGGTGTGGTTTGGTGTGGGGTGGGGTGGAGTGGTGGGTTGGGTGTGGGTTGTGTGTGGTTTGATGGGTGGTTTGGTTTGGTGTGGTTTGGTGTGGTTGGGGTGGTGTTGGTGTGGTTGGCGTGGGGAGGGGTGGGGTGGTGTGGTGTGGGGTGGTGTGTGTGGTGAGGGGTGTATGGTGTGGTGTGGTGGTGGTGTGGTGTGGTGAGGTTTGGAGTGTTGTGGGGTGGTTTGGGGTGGTGTGGGTTTGGTGTGGTGTGGGGTGGTGTGGTGTGGTGTGGTGTGGTGGTGGGTGTTGTGGATGTGGTGTGGTATGGGGTGGTGTGGTGTGGTGTGGTGTGGGTGTGGTGGTGTGGTGTGGGTATGGGGTAGGTGTGTGGGGTGTGGTGTGGGGTGTGGAAGGGTGTGGTGTGGTGTGGGGTGGAGTGGTGTGGTGTGTATCGGTCTAGTGGTAGTGGGTCGTGGTCGTATGGGTCGCTGTAGTGTAGTCTCGTCCTTAGTGTAGTGTCGTGTCGTGGTCGTATAGGGTAGTGTAGTGCTTGTAGTATACGTGTAGTGTCGGGTAGTTTCACGTATCAGTGTAGCGGTTCACGGGGGTGTGTGCGTTTGTGTACGTCGCGTGGTCAGAGTCGGGTAGTGTCGTGTAGTGTAGTGTAGTGAAGTGTGTATAGTGTAGTGTCAGGGTCGGTATAGGTGTGCTGTCGTATAGTATGTCATGTGTAGGTGTGTGTAGTGTGTTATAGATTTGTAGCGTAGGGTCGTCGTGTTAGGAGTAGTGTCAGTCTAGCTGTAGTCGGTTCGTGTAGTGTGTGTAGCTAATAGTATAGTGTAGTTGACGTGTCGTGTCGTGGTCAGTGTCGGTCTCGTGTAGTATAGTCTCGGGTATAGTGTCAGTGTATGTAGTTTAGTAACGTGTAGTCTCGTACTAGAATCGTGTAGTACATAGTGTAGTTTCGTGTAGTGTTAGGTAGGGTCTGTGTGTAGTGAGTTTCTCGGCGTGTAGCGTCGGGTACGTGTCGTTGTCGAGTCGTATCGTGTCGCGTCAGGGTAGTGTAGAGTCGAGTCGTACTACGTGAGTTCGGTATCGACTACGTGTCGTATCTACACGTACTCGGTACTTGATCGTTGACTTGACTGGTCTCTCGACTCGTTCAGCTATCGTCTCTTCACGATATTCGTGAATTCCTCGAGTCGTTACTGCACTATACTTGATCTATAGTTACTAATAATCTATTATACACTTTGGAATGCGTCTTTTTATGGTTTAGGTTGGATAGTTCTTATCTATGAGCAGCTATATTATTTTCTCGGCGCCTGTGTAAACGTTGTAAATTCGGAGTATTTCCCCTGGTCTTGTTGGGGGGTGTGGGGGGGGTCATCCACGGGGTGTTCGAAGTGCTAAAATACAGGTGATTTTAACTTGAAAAAAAAAAGATGAATGGGCTAAACATGCTAACTTTCCTGCTTTACTAAACAGTGCGTTGCTCTATGGAAACTAGCAGCAGGCTCTTTTCTGGGAGATATAAAAACTTATCAAATTGGTAAAACATAACAAGAGTAAATTTTTGGACCAAGATCTTTCTGGTTCGGTTTGTAAGTAGTTTTATTGGTATGGTCAGGGAGGGGATGGGGTTAGCGGCACTAGGGGTCCCGCCTGGGATAGTTGTTTCATTGTGTTCGGTGTCAAGTCCTTATAAATATGATCTCATAATTGTGTGTTTTAGGATCAAATATATTCAAATTTGTCTGTGGTTGTTGGCCGGGGGAGCAGTAATGGGACTCCTTATGGTTCTTTGTTCTTCTAGTGTTTTTGTTTACTTTTTAATATCGTTTTGAGTTTTAGGTTTTTGCCTTATGGTTTGTTTTTATGGTGTACTATAATATATTCAAATCAGGGTGCTATCGTCTATGCAGTTTAATTTTTGGTTGGGGGGGTGCAAGATGCGCTGATCCTCTTGTTTGTGCCTGCATTGGGCGGCCCCGGATGCCTGTTTCTGGGTCGGGGTGGGTGGCAAGTCAGAGCTGCACCCAGTCATCTAAGAGCCCCAGCCCCCTCTCTGATTCCTCCTGCAGGGGTGCTGAGTCCACAGGGGGCCTTGATCTGTCAGCAGGGGCTTCAGGCAACAATAAGTGGGGTGGTTTTGTGTCTTGCCCTAGGACACAACGGACATGCTATGTCATCTGGGGACAACTATGTTTATTTTTGACTCGATTTCCACTGCTGCTTGATTTATAGTAAATGTTGCTGTATTAGAAAGGGTCTGGATTCGACAGCGAAAAAATGGACGTTTTTGGGTTAAGCAAAAGACAGACAATAATCTTCAGAAATTGTGACTAGAAATGGTCTCAAGGCGTTCATGTGCACACTTTGGGCTTACCCTACCACTCCCATGTGAGGGTAGCAACACTGTGGTTGGTGTGGGAGGTTGGTCTCTGGCCCCTCCCGGTCATTTATTGGACGTTGTAGTTCTAGTTGTAGTTGTAGGAGTTGTGTTGTTGTTGTTGGTAGGTAGTTGATGCATGTTGATGTATGATTGGTGTTAGTTATAAGCAGGTGTTGTTGGGGGTTTGGCTTGTGTTGAAGAGCGGGTTCCAGGATATTCATAGTGTGCGTTATTTTTTTATGGCGGTCTGCAATGGACGAGTCCTTCAGGGTCGTGGGAGGTGGGTATAATGGATTTTTTGGGTGGTTGGGGGGTGTGTGTTGCTGTGGATGGTTTGATACAAGTTTTATTAGCAATTTTTGTCATTGGGTTTTGGGGATATGGGTGTTGTGGAGTGGTGATAGGGGGGAATTGTTGGGGTATTGTGTGTATTTCTTTTGTCTCGGATACTCGGGTTGGGCGGTTGTTAGCTGTGTACCCTGTGTAATGCGATCCTCCGACGGTGCCATAGAAATAAAATGTTTCTTATGATTTTAAGATTATTTCCAAAGTACACACACACCAAGCCTTAGACCCAAACTCTCTTGACCCTACACCTCTCTTCCTATCGTTTCTCTACTCTTTAAAATGTAACCTAAACATGTTTTTTAGTCACTCTCTTGCCACTATTCCCCCCCCCCCCCCCACACCTTCCCTGTGTCCGCCCCCCCCCCCCCCCCGCCAACCCCCCCCCCCCCCCCTCCCCCCCCCCCCCCCCCCCCCCCCCCCCCCCCTCCACCCCCCCCCCCCCCCCCCCCTCCCCGCGCCCCCCCCCCTCCCCCCCCCTCCCCTCCCCCCCTTTCCCATCCCCCCCCCCATCTCACAGCTGGGTAACACCATCTTCCTGTTTCCAGATGAATCTTTTTGTCGTCTGGTTTTGAGTCCAAGTTTTACGGATCTCGAGAGAGAGTGGGCGAGGACCATTGTGAACTTCTCTCCGAGCACTCCGCACTGGTACATCCAGGTCGGATTTTTACTTGTCCGGGGCCAGGAACCAGTTAAACATGGCCTCAGTGAACGTGGAAGCGTACAGTTGGTTCATTGAGAGGAGGGGGGGGGGGGGGGGACCAGAATTCCCCACATTAGATACATACATATAAATCTGTCATATCCTTTGGCCCTCGCGGGCGGTTTATCACTCTCTTAGCTCGGGTCCCTCTACCAGAGGCCGGGAGCTGAGGGTTCTGGCAAGTATCTTTTGCTTTGTTCATACACTGCACATTTCTGGACCCTGATGTCCCGAGGTTGTTCAGGATCCTCTGGAACATCTTCTAGCTTCGGGGTCACTGCCCCGGTGCACCGATCACCACGGGCACTACTGTAACCTTTACCCTCCAGGCCCTCTCACAGCTCTCTCTGAGACCTTGGGTATTTCTCAAGATTTTCATGTTCCTTTTTCCGGGAAAAGGATGGCCGCGGTGAAAATGATGCGTTTTCAGCTCTTCTGCTTGGATTTTTGCTTGTTTTACCACTCACGTCATGGATGACAGCTAGTGGGGGGTGAAAAAGATGAAGATGCAGTTTGCCGCTAGGACCCCGTTCAAGTTTCAAAATTTTGCATTTCGCTGAGGGTACAAGCGGCGTGTTGAGTATTCGCAGGCCTTTCCAGCGTTAACCCAGACATCCGCATTGAGGATGAGAACTATCTTCCCATTCCCATGTATAGGCACATTGCTTCCTTCTTGTCCGTTTTCAAGGCAGGATGGGCGGCACGGTGGCTGAGTGGATAGCACTATCGCCTTCTGCAAGAATGGTCCTGGTTCGAATCCGGGTCGGACCAGGCCCTTTCTGAGGTGGGAGTTTGCATGTTACTCCCCATGTATGCGTTAGGTTTCCTCAGGGTGACTGGTTTCCCCTACCTCTAATAACTATGTCCAATAGTTCTGCCTGTGCCTCTGTACTGGCCCCTCCCATCTCTGTGTGGAGTGAGAGACAAGCATGCCCATTAAATTAACAATTGTAAACCACTTTGAGGAACTCAGATCTGTAGTGAAAAGGCGGTGGTATATATAAATAACTATTACTTACTTACTTAATTTCGCGTGGACTTGCCACGTCACCACCACGGCTGTCCTCTGCCTCTTTGTCCACCATCGGCTGTCCTCTGCCCTTTGTCACCACCACGGCTTTGTCTCTACCCTTTGTCCACCACACAGGATGTCTCTACCTTGGTCCTCCTACACCGGCTGTCCCTCTGACCTGTGTCCACCACCATGGCTGTACTCTGCCTTGGTCCACACACACGGCTGTCTCTGCCCTTGTCCTACACACGGCTGTCCTCTTGCCTTTGTCCACCACCACGGCGGTCCTCTGCCATTTGTTCACACCACCACGCTGTCTCTGACCCTTTGTCCACACCAAGGCTGTCCTCTGCCCTTTGTCCCCACCACGGCTGTCCTATGCCCTTTGTCTACTCCACCCACGGCTGTCCTCTGCCCTTTGCCCACCACGGCTGTCCTCTGCCCTTTGTCCACCAACCCGGCTGTCCTCTGCCCTTTGTCACCCACCACGATGTCGGGGTTGGTTCATTTACCATTTCGGCGGGCGGTCTGTATCTGGAAGTCTCACACAGGATCTTTGCTCCATTTTCCACCACCTTTGGAGGAGTTTCCACTTAGACCTGGGGGTTTCAAGACCATACTCTGCCACAGATGTTTCTGTACATATGCAGCCACTTGGTTATGGCGTTCAGTGTAGGCCTTCCCTGCCTGCATCTTGCACCCTGCAGTTATGTGTTGGAGTGTCTCAGGTGCCTCTTTGAACAACGACACCGTGGGTCTTGTTGGTGTGGTATTCTGCGGCCTCTATCGCTCTGGTGTCAGTGCCTGTTCCTGTGCAGCCTGATGAGTGCCTCTGTGCTGTCCTGTTAGGCCCAGCCCTTTTAGCCATTGGTGGTCCTTCTTGTGATCAGCCACTTCTGTTATGCTCCGGTGGTCCATGGCCGTTTGG